CCTCCTAAGGGCTGGGATTAAGGGCATGCACCATCACATCTGGCCAGTATTTATTTTTTAAAAAGATTTATTTTTAGTTTATTTTCTTGTGTGTACATATTAGCATTTGAATGTGTATACAGATACCTGAGAAGACCCCCAAACAGTGTCTGATTCTTTGTAGCTGGAGTTTAAGGCATTTGTGAGCCACCACCAACACGAGTGCTGGGAACCAAACTCCAGTTATCTACAAGAACAACAAATGCTCTTAAGCACTGATTCATCTCTCCAGTCCTTAGTACTTGCTTTTGACAACATAGGGCTTGATCATAAGATAGTTATTTGTCCTAAATATATTTGTTCTCCTCATGTTTCTTTTCATGACATGTATTTACTCAAAAAGCATTTACATTTACAGAGCAGCAACATGAGTATATTACACAATATGTATGACATACGGTATATAACATATACTAAAATACATAATGAGAAGCAGAGGAACTGGTTAATCATGACTGCACCTCATTAGAAGAGCTTTTCAATATCATTGATTTACAGAAGACATTGATAGCCTATAAGTTAGCTCTGCTTGATTAGTTGGTATTATATCCTGTTTACCAGGAACTTGGATTTTCTTTAGTCTTCCATTTCCTTCCTAAAACCTTATTTACCTTTCATTGATTATTAACTGTTTTGTTTAATATACCTTGATTTTTTTTTTTAAAAAAAAAAAAAACCTTTGAAATGTGTGTTTTAGGGGCTCTGTTTGTGTATAATATGGAAAGTTGATCTTAGGCTTTCATTAAATCAGTTTTGCATTATCCACTTTGAAATCTCCCCTTTTAAGTGTATTTCTGGTGCAGACAGAGGGGCTAGCTACTGTTTATTCAAGTAAGTGGGCCTGCTGATTATCAGCTACTGGCATGTCATGTGACCTCAACTTAAAACATCTCTATGGAAAAGGTTTTCTTTGCTAGTGTTTACTTGGGCCTTTGAGTCCATTATTGAATTAAATAGTTTTATTATTTACCCAGCAAATGCAGTTTGGTACAATTACATAGAGAAGGCATTAACTTGAATATGTATTATTATTGATTGTATTAGTGAATTAAAAAAAACAAACTATAACATCTCTCTATGTTTGAAGTACAAGCCTTTTGTATTGTTAGATCTATGTATTCATATAACCATTTCACAAAATCCAACCGTGTGTGTGTGTGTGTGTGTGTGTGTGTGTGTGTGTGTGTGTGTAGATATATAATAGACAACCCACAATCATTCCTGCATTGTGGTCACAGTTGAAATGACTCACCACAAGGCTGGTTGCTGGATGAGTCAGTGACCTCCAAAGGTCACCCAGTGTGATTCAGTGTGGTGGTTCCATCTCTGCTAGTTGAGATGATCAGAGTGGAAGAACGAGACAGAAAGTTGAGGAGGAAAGAGGTGATCCAGGGGAGAGTTGGTCACAGTCACTGGTAGGCGTTCACAAAGGGCTGCATCAAGATTTCCAAGGCAGTGATCATGCAGTGTTTACATTCTGAAACTAACAACCAAAATACTTGGATTAAAACATTTTACCAAGTTTATGTAGTAGTAAGCTCAGTCATGATTGATTGTTCCCAGTGGGGTTTGCATCTGTGTAAATGTGCAACCTATTGATTTTTTTTCAAAAGAGAAAATAGGTGAACACATTAATTTATTTTTTACACCAGGTTTCCTTTTATAGATTTTTCCCCCTTCCATCCAAAACTATGGAGTGAGTCAGGGTGTTAATCTGTTTTGCTCTGGTAAATTCAATCTCATGATGGAGATGCTTTGCAGTGTGGTGATGGCTCTGAATAGATTGGTTGTGGTTTCTTTTTACCCATTTATTCCTTCACAGCTCTTTACCATGCCAGAGATAAATAATGAAACATTGTGCCAGCTCAACTGAGATTCAAAGGTATCCAGTAAATTAGAATGTAAATGCTATTTGGAGCTACTGACTTGGAGGTGTAGTGGATACTCAGTGCTATGTCATAGTGCAGATGTATGGATATATTTAGGTGGGGTATTCTTTTGCATCAGTGGTGGTTTGCAATGGGTTGTGGTTAACCTTAAAGCAATACATGGGGCTCAAACAAAATGGAGACATGGAACCTCTATACTTTTCCCTGGGGCAGTTATTTTCCATCATACCAAGATTTATTTTTTCCTTGACATTAGCTTGTAAAGCAATGGGTTTCCACATGACATTTCCACACATACATGTCATTCGCTTTGTTTCCATTCACCCCACTCTACCGCTGCCCTCCTATATTCCCCTGCGCCTCTTTCTAGTTCTTTAACTTCTCCTTTTTGCCTCATGTCACTTGTATTCCATTCCTCGCTCCTCCCCTCCTCTCCCTTGCAGGTCTTTCTTCTGCTCTATGTCATAGCTCTTTCACTCTCTCTGTGTGGGTCTAATTTGGCTTTCTGAATATGGTTTGCTTTGCTTTACACAGTGATCTGTTGTTGTATGTATGTTCATGCATAATCATGACCTTATTTTTCTTTGTGGTTGAATAAACCATTCTTTATACAAACTGTCTCTTTTTCCATTCATCTGGTGTGTGTGTGTGTGTGTGTGTGTGTGTGTGTGTGTGTGTGTGTGTGTGTGTGTTGGCTGGAGGACAACCTGGGATGCCATTTTCAGGACTGCTGTCCATCCCCTTTGAGACGGGACCTCTCATTGGCCTAAAGCTCACCGGTTAGGGGAGACTGGCTAGCAGGCCTCAGAGATTCTCCTGTCTTGACTTCCCCAATTCTGGGATTGCAGATTACAGTACCAGGCATTTTCACATGGATTCTGGGGATCAAACTCAGATTCTCCTGCTTGTTAGTCCAGTGTTTTACTGGCTGAGCCACCACCCTGCCTCAGCTCTGTGTTGGTGGACATTTAGGCTCACTCCATTTCTTAATTATTGTGAATAGTGCAACTGTGAGCATGGGTGTGTAAGCGTCCCTGTGGTATGTTGAGTTTGAATCCTTTGGTTGTATACTTAGTAGTATAGTTGGGTCACATGGTAATTCTGCTTTTAGGCATTTTTGTGTGTTTGTGTTTGGAAATCCTCATATTGATCTCTGGGTTTCATTCCCATTCACAGTGACTGAGGACCTCCCTTGTCACCATTTGTTGTCATTTGTTTTCTCAATGTTTGTCATTCTCATTAGATTGAGTTAGAATCTAAATGCCTAGGTTTAACAGTATTTCTTTTTAGTTCTTCACAGTAAATTAATCCCACATAATGTCAGTACAGTTTTGAATAATGATTCTGGGATTGTATCCTAATACTACAGTGGGCAAGGATTTAGTCTCTATTTGTTTAGTTGTTGGGATGGGTTCATTACTGGATCTCCCCTCAATGGCCCAATCCCTAGAATCTATGCATATGACCATATTTGAAAAAAAGGGGAAATTTTATAGATATAATTAAGGATCTTGAGATATTTGTCCTTCGTTATTGGGATGAGTCCTCATCCCCAAAAGCAATTGTCCTTACAATAAAAAGAGTAGAAGAGACAGGTATGAAGAAGCCAGCTTAAGAAAAAGGCAGACACTGGAATTATGTGCCCACAAGACAGAGAATGACTGAAGTCTAATGCTGGAAGAGGCCAGCTGGGGTGTTCTCTGGTGATTTGGGGGAGATTACAGACCAGCTGACATCCAAGCAGAAAAAAAGAAATTTCTGCTGTTTTAAGCATTATGTCTGTAATGATTTATTATAGCAGCCACAGGAAATGAACATGCTAATTTGATTATTTAATTACTTAGTTAAGTTTTCTTTTTGTGTTTCTTGAGTAATAATTATGTGGAGAAATCAAAATCTCTACTTCAGTTTTATCCTTTATCCAATGGAAACATTTGTCTGCTTATTTGCCACAGTTGGGTGAAAACCGAAGGTTAAATTTTTAGGCTAACGTTGCCTACCTCAGATGCCCATGAAGTCTATTTAATGGGTACTTGTGGCATTTCTGAATGGTCCGCAGGGCTGGGTGCTTGTTAGGAAAGTGTCACTGGTCCTGAAATACCAGGCCTATGGGGAGGAGTCCTATTACAGATCCCACGGATGGATGGCAGTTTCTGTAATGGCTTATTCACTGGAGCAGAACCTGGCAGCATAATTCCAGTGTCTGCCTTTGTCTTACGCTGCCTTCTTTGTACCTGCCTCATCTAGTATCTTATTGTAAGGGCACTTGCTTTTGGAGTGAGGACCCATCCCAATAATGAAGGATAATTTCATCTCAACCCTATTGTGGCTAGCTTAATTCAGGCAACTCACTTGCTGTGCCCACTTTTGATGGTCTTCCTAGGGGAATGCAGGTCAAATTTACCCTGAGAGGCCTTTCCCTCTCCATTCACTTTTATTCTTTCATCTTTACTGTTTTCCTTCACATCAACTGTACAACTGGTAATTTTGTGACTGCATATTGTCCTCTTCCCCCAAGTTCAAAGAAAGTAATATAACATGACATGACCTCAATAAACATTTATTAAAGAAGTAAACAACTAAGTGAATACACATTTTGATCAGACAACAATGAAATGTTTATTTTGTCTTTTGAGGTTGCAATCTAAGGACAGATATTTTCCTTTTCCTTTCTTTCTTTCTTTCTTTCTTTCTTTCTTCCTTCCTTCCTTCCTTCCTTCCTTCCTTCCTTCCTTCCTTTTTCTCTTTTTAACTTGATACATCAGTGTCATTGAGTTCCACAATGGAAAACGAGGTGGTCATTAGTCAACTACATGCAGGCATGATCTCCTTCCTTTTGGGACAAGCAAGGCAGAGATGATAGCAGATGCACTTTGCGGGGACAGGGAGCTCACGACTTCCCTATTTGGGATCTTTTCGGGTTCCCTTTCCCACTTCTCCTAGTCCTTGTGATTATTAGTGGAACATTTCTCACACCTGCTGCTGTAGAGGCCAGGGAGGATAAGAGCAAACCCAAAGATTCACCCAAGCTCCTGCCTCGGCCACGCGCTCAGCGTCTCCGCCACTGCGCGCGCAGTCACCTGTGTGCCCAGTGGCGCGCCCGCGTGCCTGTGGCCGGCACCTTCAGAGCCAGCGACACACAGCTCAGGCATCCCTTGCCACACGTCATCCCACGACACAGGTGGGACCCCCTTCTAGACCTGAACCCTTGGCGCAGGGCCACCCAGGGCTGCGCAGTAGGACGCAGCAGGTCTGAGAACCAGACGGTTGCTTTGGGCGGCACCTGCGGAGGGCCGAGCAACTTCTCCAGGCCTCCTGCCACTTTGGAAACTGCCTGGGACTGCAACCTCTTCAGCCCCGGGGACTGAGAGAGGGTGGGTTGGTTTGAAAGACAAAAGGGGAAAAAATGTGTTGTGGGGCGGGCTAAGTTTCCCACCCTCTTCCCCCTTCCCGAGCAAATTAAAAACAAAACAAATAGAAAAGCCTGCCTGGCAGCCAACCAAAGCCCCAATACGAGCCCAGCCGAAACACTCAATCCTTTAAAAGGATTTGCAGCAGTGAGGAAAAAACCAGAGCTGACCGAAGAATCGTTCTGCAAACCCAGGTATGTTGACGCCATCTAAGAAACTGGGTATTGGGCGAGATGCCACTTGTGGACTGCAGAGAGTTCTTCGGAGGAGTCTGGGGGCGGGGGTCTGTGTGTATCAAGGCAGTGACTTCAGCGCACCGCCAGTGGACCTGGAGACAGCACCGGAGCTCTGCTGAGGTTTCCTTTACCTTCAGTGGCATGTGCTTAGGCTAACCTCCATGGGTTTCTTCATCTATCATATTTGGAGAATTGGATTAATATCTTTTCGGAGGGCCTTTTAGTAATACCTCAGGTGCATACTGTATGAAAAAATGTAGACTTATGTAACTGTCAATCTTGTTCATTTCATTAAACTAAAAGATCCAATTGATCTCGGGGTTGGGACTATTATATGCACTTACTACCTATGTTTTCTGGATTTTTTAGTTAATAGTTGTAGAGTAGACAAAATATTAAAAATATATAGTTTATACATGAATAGGTCATCTGGCACTAACTGAAAGAATCTTATTACCTTTAAGCCAATGTCTCCAACATTGAAAAACAGAAGAAATAAAAAGAAAGAAAAAGAGAAATACCTAAATGTGTGGCTTTAACATAGTACTTTTTTTGTATTGTAAATTTGGAGGAAAACATACTTTGGAGAACACCAAAAATTGGACTTTTCCTATCAAGTATTGAGTGGTGCTCAGGGCCTTTTAGCATAAAGCTGTGTGCAGAATGTTTAAAGAGTGGTTTTTCAGGCCACTTCAGTGTGTCTCTGAAATGAACTTCAATAACAGAGATGACAACTTCAATGATATGTTTCATAGTCTTGGAATAAATCCCAGAAAATAGCGGAGGTTAACTGAATAGATCAACCATAAATTAGGAACACACACAAACACACACACACACACAAATGCACACACATTGAGTTGTACTATGAAGTGTTGGTACAGTTACTGTTTCCTTCACTTTTGATTAAAAAAAACAAAAAAACAAAAAACAAAATACCTCAACTCACACAGGCAAAGAATGAGACAGTAACTTTCATCACCACACACAGTATTAATGTTCTGAAAACTGAAAGTTCGACCTTGCCAGTTAGGTTAGTCCTGGAAGCATTTCTAGCTCTTTTTGTTGGGTATGGTCTAAAATGCAATAATCTTTTATCACCCACAAACGCTTGTGTGCAATCTGGGAGAGGAGAATGGGTTTGAAGTACTCGTCTATTTTGACTTCTTTCTAGCTCTCTTGCTGCCTTTGGGCTGGAAAAGGTATCAGCCAGCCAGGCATTTGCCTTCCTCATCGTACCTGCTGAGGGTCATCCCCTTTGACATGTGAACAGAGTGAAGTGAGTTCCATGTTGATTAGCCTGGGAATCTTAAAACTCAGATACCCTGTTGGTGCTTGTTTGAAAAACAACTGGAACATTGCACACATCTGCTGTTCATATCCAAGCCAGCCCATTCACAGCTCAGGGAGCGGTGGGGCTTGGCAAGGGCCGCTCTCCTCTTTTGCAATGTGAGGCTTTATTCTCCCAAGAATTTATCGAGGAAAAAGTCATTGCTTCACACTTAGATCACTAATATAGGACCAAATGGTTTGTGTTTGTGAAGTGGGAGGTCTTGGAAATAAGACCTAAGCAATCCAGAAAGAAAAAAAAAAAAAAAAAGCCAAAATAAATGAATTCTCTTGGCAGATACTGGATTGCATTCTCCCCCCCCCCCCCTTAGAGGCAAACATTCATACTAAAAAAGAAAAAAAAAATTGTCCTGTGGAGTTAAAAATGAAGAAAAGGCTTATGCTTGGTTCAGATTCTTCAGATTTTATGTGATTTACAAATTCCAATTTTAATTAAATTAGAAAAGTGCAAATGTTCACCTACTGGCCAGACTTCATACATACAGGCTTTTGGAGTTTTTCCTTAAACTCCATCTATTGATAGTTTATAATATGCTTTTTTGCGTGTGCGCGCGTGCGCACACACCCACCCACACCAAACAAACAGTATATAGCCTGGGTTGGCTTTAAACTCACCTTGTAGCTGAGTATGAGTATGAACTTGAACTTCTCCTGCCTCTACTGCATGGGTAGAGGGACTATAAGTGTGGACCACCCAGTTTTTGGGGCACTGAGACTCAAACTCAGGGCAAGCGTTCTACTTTGTGAATGACATCCAGCTCTTCCAAGTGGTTTTTAGGGTGCAGTAGTGACACTGTTTGTTGTCATGTGATTTTAGTCTTTAACAATTGAACTGTGGCAAATATAGAGGGAAATGCATAAAATTAATTTATTGGCTGATAAATCATATAGCAAATCACTGCAATGGGTAATTGTAAGACAAACGCCTTTCTACTCATTATTTAAGGAAGATAGCCTGACCATACCCAGACTTGTTGCTTGCTTCTTTTTTTTTTTTTAAACCATAAGCCTACTTTTCTTTCTTTTAAAAGAAAACTTACATGAATGTTGAGTGTATCCTTTTGTAGATTATTTAGGCTATGTATTATGTCTGTGATACTGTTATTTTCTTCCCTTTAAAACAAAACACTATGAAAGAGTCATTTATAGTCTCTGTGTTTTTACTCCCCTGACCACCCCTTAAGCTCAGTCTTATTCAACTTTAGTTTTGAGTACTCTGCCTAGGTCTATGGAGCTGTCTGGTCTCTGATGGTACCAGCTTTGCCATTTGGTCTGTGTTTACTCCTTCCCACCCATTCACAGCCTTGTCCAAGCTGCCCCCTCTTCTCCCTTCTATCCAGGACAGTATGTGTGTCCCCGTTTTCTTTTTCATAGGCTGCACCCTCCTTCTCTCTGTTCTGTTGCTCCTTCGTCTTAAGTGTTTGTCCTCCTTCCTTTCTCTCCTCTTTGAAAATTTCTTATAATTTCCCTGTCTGTATACTCAGGTCTCAGCAAGTGATAGTTCGTGTCCTGGCTTCCTGCTCTGAACCTCAGACCTCTTTACCCAGCTTCCCACTTAGCATCTTCACTTGGTTGTCCTGGCGATATTTATTTCTTGTTCAATATGCCCCAAAGACAGTCTTCATGAGCTAATGTCTGCAGTCTCTCTCATTTCCATTTTTTAAATTAGATAGGCTCTTAAATCTTGGAGTTCTTCCCTTACATTCTATCATACCTCACGTATGTATGTAGTTAAATCTTCTTGGCATTATTTTCAAAATAAATCCAGACCATAATCTTTTCATTTACTTCAGTGGCCATTACAGGCCCCTTTATTAGTCCTTTTGTATCCTTTGCTTTCTTTGATCTAGTCTCAAAAAAAAAAAAAAAAAAAAGAAAGGACAAAGGTTTTTCTTTTAAAATACATGTAGGCGGTAGGCAGGAGAGATGGCTTAGCAGTTAAGAATGCTTGCTGCTCTTCCACAGGACTGTGGTTCAGGTCCCAGCACCCACGTCAGACAACAGACAACTCAAAATCTCACTAATTCTAACTCCAGGGAACTCTGACGCCCTCTTTTGGCTTCTGTGGGTACTCACATGCATGTACACAAACTCATAACTAAATATTAAAAATTTTATGTGTATGGGTACTTTTTATATGTATGTATATAGGTATACCATGTGTGTGCCTGGTGCCCATGGAGGCCTGAAGAGGGTGTCAGATCCCCTGGAACTGCAGTTACAGATGGTTGTGAGCCATCATGTGGATGCTGGAAATCAAATCAAATACTGATTCTCTGGAAGAGCTAACCACTGAACCATCTCTAAAGCTCCTAAAATAAAAATCTTGGTAAAACATATACATCACATCATGATACTTTTCTGCTTCAGACATTCTGGTGGCTTTCCAGTTCATAGGTTGTCAAAGCCCAAATCCTTGTAATGATTACAAGATCCCTCTGATCTCTCATCCTTCCTTTTCCTATCTCCCCTTCCTCTTCCTGGGCTCTTGGCTTTCTTTGAGTGTATCTGGGATCATCTTTCTCTTTAGCTTCTTCTGTTTGCAGTGCTCCTCTTTGAATGTCTACATGGTTTGCTGTGTTACCCACATCTCCCTTAAGTCTTTGTTCTGATGTCTCCAGGCAATATTTGAACTGGCCGGCTTCTTACTTTGCAAACTTATATGTTCCCTTTTCCTTCCCTTTGCTTTCTTCTCAGTAGTGTTTATTCACTTTCTAAACTGCTATGTGTGTACTTTTCAGTTCTGTTACCACTAGAACGAGACCATAAGAAGGGTGGAATGTTTAATTTTGTGTGTGTTTCATTCAGTCTTAACTCTAGTGTGTGGACTTGGGTGTAGTGTGTCAAAATCGTTCTAAGTATTGTTTTATTTTTCCTGTTGACTGGCTGTTCCAACTTTCTATTTTCATTGCTGGAAATTCAGTGGTTCCCAACCTTCCTAATGATGTGACCTTTTTAATACAGTTCCTCATGTTGTGGTGACCCCCAACCATATATTTATTTCATTGCTACTTCATAACTGTAGTTTTGCTACTGTTATGAATCATAATATAATAATATAAATATAAATATATAATATGCAGGATATCAGACTCCCCTTAAAAGGGTCTCAATCCACAGTTTGAGAACTGTTGCATTAGATAATGGTATTAATTACTATGGAGATTCTGTGGTCAAAATATATGACAGACACGACTTGAGGTAGGAAAAACCCAATTTAGGTCAAGATTTCAGAGGATTAGGTCCTTAGTTGCTTGCTTCCATGCACTTAGCACGGAGGCAGAAGCATGTAGAGGAAGGCAACTGTTAACATCATAGCAAATAGGAAGCAGCTAGTGATAATATACCCTATAGGCCCCAACCCTAGTGACCCACCTCCTTGTGTTAGATGCCCCCCCACTGCCAAAGCCTTCAGGACCTCCTAAAATAACAGCTGTGGAGTAAGTGTTCAAATCAGAGTCTCTCGGAGACTTTTCAGATTCAAACTGTGAGAATGAATAGAATTCATTAATAAAGCTGATTACCCAATTATGTATATATGGAATTTTAGGTTCTCTCTCTCTCCCCTCCCTCTTTTCAGTCCCCATCTCCCTTGTTCCTTTCCATAC